GGATTGAACATGATTTGTCCGGTATTGAACAGTCAATCCCGGATCTCGAAGCTTCAATCTCGGAACAATACTTGGTCCGGGATACCGACTGCATTTCTTTTCTTTTTCCAAGAAGCCAAGTGAAAATGTATGAATGGAAAATATTTCAAATCATTTCAGAAATTTTTATGTTAACGTACCTCTAATTCTTCAAATGTGAAAATGTGGGGACAACGATTTTAGATAATGTGGGGATAATGATCAAACACGTGGCAATGTTTCTTTCCCGGATTTTAAAAAACGTGATCTATGAGGAGTTTGGATGGTGTGAAAATTTTAGATTGTTTCAAACTCAAAACATAAGTAAAATATGAGGTTAAAAGTTTGGTGAAATGGTTGGGTGGAAGTTAATGGGAAAGTTAATGTATCATAAATAAGGGTATATTTGTCTTTTCACTAAAGAATGGGTTCAAAATTAAGTAGAGATGGGGTCAAAAATTAGGTTTTTTAAAAGAAGTTCATTTATCCAATTTGAACTATTGGTGGGGTCAAAAACCCCAATTTCCCTCCTTGGTTCTCTCCCCGTCTTCTTCTTTTTCTGTTTTCCTTTTCCTTTCCAATTTCTTTTTTTTTTTATTCTTTCTCCCTTAGCCACCACATAACACTATCACATACGTGTCTCGATACAAGAATTCCCAATATTTTTTTTAAACCTAGGAGGTAAAAGATCAAAGTGCCCCCTTATTCTAAATTTCTTCTTTTTATTTTTATTTTTTTAAATAGCTAAAAGACCATTATACTCTCATTAACTTCAATAATTCCAATTTTATTTTCCTTTTTAGAAAATAATGACGGACAAATCCTTACACCTCTAATATATACCTACAATATGTACATGATGATCCATCTTATTGATTTACCTTTAATCTACCACATTGATATAAATATGATATATGTGTGCTTTATACCACTAATATATGTATGATACATACTTTTAATATGATTATTTGCTTCTGACATACCTCTAATAATGTATCTCTGATATACCTGCAATATGTATGTCCTGATCTACCTTATTGATTTACCATTTGTATACTATTATTTACTATTGATTTACTTTATTGAAATACCTTATGATATATTACTAGTGATTGATATATTTATACCATTGATTTACTAATACATCCACTATTTTTTTCAGGTTGAAACAAGGATGTAAATAAGGGAAAAAAAATGCTAAAATTAATGTAGACAAGATAGATGTGAACCATGCACGTCCAAAACGACATATTAAACCAACGCCAAAAATCTTGTCTTTACAAAAACAAAAGGTCAAGATACAACAATCATCAAGAAAGAGAGCTGATAAAGATCAACCTAGTTTTGACTTACAGATTGCTCAGATTGAATGAAAACTTGTATTTAATACAATATTTTTTTAGATTTTTATGTTCAAATTATAATACAATATCGCACCCAAAGATATGACAATCACCAAGAAAGAGAGTTGATAAAGATCAACCTAGTTTTGGCTTACGGATTGAAAACTTGTATTTAATACAATATTTTTTAGATTTTTATGTTCAAATTATAATACAATATCTTTTAGATTTAAAATTTGTATCTACCTCTAGTTTTTCAGGTTCAGATTATAATACAAATTTCTTTTTTTAAGAATTTTAATGATATGACAATAATCTTGTTTATAGGTAAAACACATTGTATTAAATTTTATATTTGTCAATTTGTTGATTATCCTATGATTCCCCACTTAATGATTAGGACAGAGTGATTTGATAATTTTTTCAATATGGAATTCCCTCCCTAAGCTTGACATCTTGTTGTTCTTTTGCTGATATACTATTATATATGTCTGATATATATGTTATTTCTATACTTTGATATGATTTTCTAATTCTGACATATCTATGATATGCTTATGATATGTCTGCTACATGTGTGCTTATGATATGTCTGCTTCAAATCTTTTGTAACTGCAGAATCCAAAATGTATTAATAGTTTTTATAAATAGGGGTGAACTTTTTTCTGGCCATTGCAGATTTAAACAAAAATTACAAAAATCAGAGTTTATTCAATTGGTTAAGATATCTATCTTCATTCAAAACTTGATAGATTTGAATCTCTATCTTTATAGGTTGTACCAAAAAAAATAATGTCTCTGTCGATATGGTATTTTTAGTAAGATGAAAAATAAAATTGTATATGTATTTAAGTTCAAATAAACAATTGTACTAGTATGAAAATATATCGTACACAGAACAAAATCATCTGATTTACACGTGGACGAGATCATGATTTGTTAATAGTCAAGGCACATGGATTTGACTTTCCCAATCAAAGAGCCACTTGACTGGTAATTGAGTCAAGTTGGGGAGATAATTTGTTTAGAAAAGGACGTTTATGTTCATGTCTAATTTGTTTGTTTGTTTTAGATTCAAAGTATTTGACAAAACGGAAACCAAGAAAGATGGGCTTCTCAAGAAAAATTATTAATTTAATAAATGAGATGATTCACACGATTGTGCTAACCATGCGCTGAGTCCGATAGACTTTAATTCAAGCAAGTTGAAATCTTGCAGGTAGAATCTTGAATTACGTGCTTATGTACACTCTAAAGTTTAAGTCAGTGTCTTGTTCCAGTTGGTGTCGAGACAAGTTTTATGAGATTGTTTAGAATTTGGTGATATTCGAGTAGAGGGAAGGAATGCATAAATGAACCGATACTATATTCAAATGAGATGAATTTTGGGATTATGGAAGTATGGTTAATTTAAAAAAACCGATACTTACCCTCTATATTAATAAAGTGTACCTTCCTTTTCGATTGCTCAATTATAAGAACGCAATCTTATCGAGTGACCTCATAGTTGATCTAGGAGGAAGCAAACATGCGAGTGAGGATAAAATAGGTTAAAAGAACTCAGTGTTAGCATGTAGGGACATTCTAGGGAATGCTAAAACAATTAGGTATCGGATCTCGATTCTGAATCTTGGATTTGGGGTGTTATAGAATTGCTTTTGTTGGAACTCGATTATGGACTTCCCTTTTATAGGGGAGAGTTTTGGAAAATATTGTACTATCATTTCTATACTACCATTCAATTAATGAATTTGTCTTTAAGTTCTCAACTCGATTGAACCGAAGTCCATCTTAACTCTGACGCTAACTCAGCACCTCGTCTACAATCTTGCATCAACAATTTTTATAATTATTAAATTTTAATTATTTCTACAAGAAAAGAGAATTCTTCCTCTTGAACAAAAATTATGCTAGTAGGTAATAAAAAGATATAAATTTTATATTGGTAAGTTTGAAGGTTTAATTTTAAGTTCACGAGTGGTTTGTAACTTTATGATATAGTAAAATATTAGGTTGAATATGCATATATACCCTTTTTTAAATTTCATTTAGAAGATTAAATCTTGACTAAATAAAAAAAAATCTATTAAAACTCTATTCGAACAGCATCTTTTAAATAAATAAAAAAGAAGTTAGTATTTTCAATGAAATGACGTGTTTTAAACGTAAAACAAATTTCGATTGGTTCGTATTCAATTAAAAAAGAAAAAGAATCTAAGGCACAATTCAATCAAATAATTGAACCTAATTTGATTAAGAAAAAGTTAATTGAATAAATAATATAGGTATTAAAATTTGGAGGAAAAACATATTCCAGCTGCCCTTATTATTATTACAGTCACCGTCACATTCCACCATAGTGACATTGCCTAGCCCTCCTAATCACGTGCCTCCGTGTGGACTACTGGACCAGCCTGTACGTAAACGACAAACGCTATAATTTTGGATCACTGCAATTTAATTATTTTTCTATATGAAATCGAAAAGAGAATCAATCGGAATGAAATTACAAAATTACTTGAAATGAAAATGTTTTTTGATGTTGTTTGTCAGAAATTTCTAGAATTAAAATGAAAAATTATATGATATTATTTACTAAAACGGTTAAAAATCGAAATACGAATTTTATATATATAACAATTATTGGTATAACACTCTTTTCTAATTTATTATATTGTTAAATTAAAACATTAATAAATTTTAATTTATTTTATTACTATGAATAAATATATATTATTATACAATTTATTTTATATTAATTAGTAGTAGATAATTAAAATAAAATTACACTAACTAAAATAATTTCTTATTAGAACAATATAAAATATTATTAAATATTTTTATTATAATATTTTAATAATAATAAATTATATTTCT